TTCCAAATCCGATAACCTCTCAAGACTGATACAAAATCAGTCCACCATGCATATCGGTTTGGGGAGGTTCAACAGTAACAGTATTAATATGCTCAATTCTGATTGGTCAACTTTTAATACTGCGGCTCATAAAATTTAAATTCTTCTTACCGGATTCATTGACCCGACCGGGTTATGAGAACCAAAAAATTAACTTTGCCTGGCCTTATACAGTTATATTAGCTTGAGTTAAAAAATAATGTGATTATATCAAGGTTGTGACTATATCAAGAGTGACTATAACGAGGTCAGACTGTATATGAATTTTAGCAAGGTTTATATTTTCAAATCAAGACCCCAAATTTCAGCATTAGTATCAACCGTGACATTATTTAAATAATTTTTTTTAAAAAAGGTCATTAGCATAAAAAAGCATAATTTAATGTAATTAATTTGGTATCTTTAGTAGGTCCCTAATCTAAATATTTTAAAAAAAACAAGCACACAAACCTAATGAATATTACTACTGTATTTAATTTTATTCTATATTGTAAAACATTTTTATCAATCCAATTGTTTTGTATATTATCCGGATTTAAAATAGTTCATTTCACTAATTGAAAATTATCTTAATATTTTAAAATTTATATAAAATTCACAAAGTTTCAATACACCAACAATATTTATAACGATAAAAATTTTTTAAAAAAAATAATTAGACTACATCAATTAATAATCGACATTTAATAAAAAATAACGCGTAACACAGATTCAATTTGAAAAGCAGTATCATTTAGCATTTTAGAACGAAATAGCCAATGTAAAAACTTTATTATAACAGATAATAGATAATGATAATTAGATTTACAATATGTATATACTTAATATATTATATATGAATAAAAGAAATAAATGTATGATATAATAATAGTACGAATGGCGATGTAAATTGTGAATAAAATTAAATATGGGTTTGAACAAATAAAACAACGTTTATGAGAGCGTTAATAACCCTAAGCATACAATATCTAAAAACTAAACCAAATTCTCCAACCGGAATTTTTTGTCTTAGCACTTGTGTACGAGATGAATGAACGTCTTTAGATGATCGAGCTTTCATTTGCTTATTGTAGCGTCGAATGCACTCGATTAAATCATCATTTTCGCATTTAAGTAATTCCTTGGTTAACAGCTCGGCATCTTGTAATGCATTATTTGCACCTTTAAAAAAAAAAAAAAAAATACATATACAATATATAATAAGTACTAACGCTAATCGGATTTTTATAAAGTCAGTTTTAATAATAAATACAAACCTAATCCTAATATTGGATTCATAGCATGAACTGCATCACCTAACAAAACGACTCTATCATCTTTCCATGGCGGGACAGATAATGGATCAATATCGCGAAGTGGACGACGTCGTGGAGGATTATACGCTCGAAACAGATTATTCTTCCCTGGATCAGAGTATGGAACCAACGAAAATAGCTCAATCAATAGATCCGTTAATTCACAAGGTGGACGTAATTGTTTGATTCTTGAAATTGCATGTTTAATAACTGATTCTGGATCATCATCGTCAACTTTACAATTTTCATCTTCGATATCGATGATTGTTGGATATTGATATGCTATAGTAAGCCTATAACGTGGTTCATCGGATTGATCGATTGGTATAAGACGCATCATTGAAAACGACGAATCTCCATTTCGACCAAGGGATTTTTGCATTAATGCATTTGAGTAAAAAGCTGCAAATTTGTCGGCCAGATTTTTTGGTACTGCTATATCTACGTCGATGCTAGTTACACCAAGATTAAAGATTTCTAAATTAGGAACTTTTTGTTTTCGAACTATAAATAAAAATAATAATATATGAGTAATTTTATTAAATAAAAAATATATACTGTTGAACCTCCCTAAATCGATCCTCTCAAAACCGATAACCTGCCAAATCTGATAAAAAATTAGTCTACAAAGTCCGTTTCCGTTATATAAATCTAATAGTTTATAATGTTTTCCAAATCCGATAACCTCTCAAGACTGATACAAAATCAGTCCACCATGCATATCGGTTTGGGGAGGTTCAACAGTATATATATATGATAAATTTATTTTAAGAGATGGTATGACTTACTCGGCGAATTAATTCCATCAGCTCCAATTAATAAATCTCCAAATTCTTTGGTTCCATCCTCAAACAATACCCAAACTCCGTCTTCACTTTCTTCATATCCAATACATTTTTTACCCCACTGAATATCAACACCTTCTAATAAAACATCGCGTAATCTATTCCGATATGTAACTATACCTGCAAAATCAGTTTTAATGGATTCTATTTCATAAACACTCTTAAATTTTGGTTGTGGTATATGAAATAATTGTCTTCCAAAATGGTCAATCATCGCTATAGTATGTTGTTCCTTAGAAATTGGATCTGGCATTGCTTCAGGAAAGCGAGCTTGAACTTCAGGTGGTGTGCAATAAAATAATGAAGTAACACCTTTTTTATTAATGAAAATGTTGTAACCTTGCCATCGTTCTATTTGTGCAAAATTAAGAAAAAAAATTGTTTAGTAAATCACGCATTTTTCAATTAATAAAATTTTAATTATTATTGAAAAACTAACCTTCAGGACTAGTTTCACGTTCGAATATTTTTACATTAAATTTCTGACCAAGATTTTTTCGAATTGATTGATAAAGACTAAGTCCACCTACACCAGCCCCTACAATTAAAATTGTTGGAAGTTTATCCGTAGAAGTTGTCATTTTTTTTTATAAATTCAAAATAAAATTTTCAATTATTATGAATTTTTTTATTGTTTTTTTTTTTGTCAAGATCCCAGATGCAAAAAGAATTTTCAATTACTATGAATTGTTTTTTTTTTTGTCAATATTCCAGTTGAGCTGCTTTATATAGTTTTCACTTAATTATAAACCTTCTGCGAGATTTGCCGAGGCAAAGCTCCGTCTATTTTTTTTCCATATTTGTACAGAGAAAAATACCATTATTCATGGAATTACTCATATTGAATTCCAAAAATTTATTTTGATATTTGAATTTTTCTAATCCAAAATCACTTGTTTGCACAAAAGGTACACATTTCGTATTTTTACAGAATGTAACAGTGTCGGCAAAATTAATACCGAGTCTGGAGTTTGAATGCCGTCGTTATTTTTTAATGAATCATAATTGACTCACATTTTATCATTCTTAAAATTTTGATTTTCACATGTACATTTGTTATTGGTTCAATTTAATATGCTTTCCGATAATGATTTTAAAAAAATATTATGACTCATTTTTGGTTATACGGTAATGGTTTTTATTACATTATGCACATGTTTGATGTTCCAAGTTTTTTCGTTTTTTATCGATATTACTTGTTGTCAGTTATATTACAGCATTAACTTTATGCATTTCAGTCATTAAAAAAAATATCGTCTTCTATTAGTTTCTTAAAAATACGTAGTAAATTTTTAAACCGGCAATTTGATTAATTTGCTGCTGCGTACCGGTATGCACATAATCAAACTTTAAACAAATAGGGTAAGAAATGCAGAAGCATACAGTTTTTGATTGGTCTTTATAAATAGATTGGCACTGTATACTTAGTCTAGAAATTTCGAAAATTTCGAGTTCAGGATTATATTTTTCCGAAACTTTATTTGAAACCGAGGCTTTACCAAGTAAGTCGATTTTGTTACACCTTTTGACACTCAAGTTCATACGTAATCATGACATAAACGATTGTTTATTGCATTTATATATGGTTACTTTCTTGATGTATATACGAAATTGGATAATAAAATTATAATGTCTGTCCGATTTCAAATGATTCTGGTCGATCAATAATCGAGATGAAGCCAGTTTATTAGTTTATTTTTTGTCCCTCATCGAGGAGGGGTGTTACAAGATGAAAACAGAGCGAAAACAAAGAAAAAAACAAAAGAAAATCAAAATGGAAAACAACTATGGGCTATCTGTCCTTCCGCTCACGTGCTATATGTGCTATGCATGCTAATAGTGCAGAACTCGAAAGAATCGAACGAGTCAAGCGTAGCCGTTCTAAAACTGATGGTTTCCTAAGCTATTAAACGTCGTAGGGAGTGGGCGAAAAAAAACTAGACAATTTCATCTGGAAAAAACCCTAAGATCCCCTACGACTACCCCAATACTAACAACGAGTGCTATGAAAACTCGTACACAACATTTACCCGTGACTGTCGTCCCGACAGGCCACTTTGCACAAACACATAAAAATTTCTTCACGCCTGTTGTTTAGGCAGGTCGCTTCAATATACACTCAAAAACAAGAAAACTTCTGTGACTGTCGTCCCGACAGGCCACGCAATTAACAACCAAACTCACTGTAACTGTCGCCCAGGCAGGCCACTAAAACAAAATATGACTGTCGTCCGACAGGCCATAAACTACCCAAAAATCAGTTAAACAACGATAAACG